TTGTGTTGGGCGAACAGATATTCTGAAACGTTTCCGTGTTTCAAAAGCCCGTGCGCAATATTTGTAAAAATCTACGGGGATTCAAATGCACCTTTCGTGTTATCTCATTCTGCTCCTGCCTACTGATCTGATAGATTAGGTACGATAAAACAATTGTGGCGTCCATGGAGACGATGTTGAAGTTTTCTGTTGGTCGCATCTTCATTATTGAATAAATTTGTTGGCTGCAGTATGCAAGTATGGCGACAACACTGCGACAACAACCTCATTTGAGTTTTAGTCAGTAATCAAGTTAGGGACAAGTTATTCGCAATTTAGAAAATTGATCAATGAACGTGTTGCATTTTTGTCATTGATAAGCGTCATTCATAGAAAAAAATGTCGAACATATAAAACATATCACTTGTATAAACTCTGCTCATCGAATGCAATAAAAAAGTAATCCTATGTCATTTCTCGATTTTATTGCAGGATAAAAATCGATATGTTTTTAAACGAGAAGGAGGTTTAAAAATATAATATTCCTAAACTATTCATAACACAACGCTGTTTGATCACCTGAATTTCGGTGATAAGATATTTTTTAACCGGTCGAGCACCGGTGTCTCTCCAACTTGAACTATATTTTGAAACATTTTTTCCGGATATTTTTTGTATATTCATATTTCTTTTATATTCAGCATAAACTGAATTTCCGGCCAAGATTCATGAGCAAGTAAAAGTTCTTTTACAAACCGCTTTATTATACTTCCCCCTGGCATAAGAAAAAAATGAATTTTTTATCATGAGTTCCGAAAGCGTCGCTGTAAGATACTGCGCGGCATTCAAAGCTCGTTTGAATGTCATTTGGACACCGAGAAAAAATAAGAAGGGCTTCTGGGTATCGTCAATGTAACTTACTGAAAATGCTTTGAAACGATGCATATACAAGAAATTTTGTTAGACTATGATTCGTGTTTAAAATTTGTGAAGGGTTCGGAGTCGGCGAAAATGCATTAAAATAAAACAGTGTCTACTTCGGAGGTAAGCAACCGCATGAAAAAAGTGAACCTGAACGTTGGCTGGAAAGAAAATAATTTATTTCAAAAGAATGAATATTTTGTAAAGTACACTCGCGGGAATGCTGATTTCTTAAATTTTCATAAAGTTGTTTCACAAGGTTTATTATACATACGTACTCTTGAAGTAATGAATTTGTATTTCCTATCCTGAATTAAATTTAATCTCAGAACTGATTTAAATGTTTTGAACCACTGTACAGAAAACATGAACTTTCAAAAATTTTCTAAGCCTGCATCAACCGGGTATTTAGGATACAATATCGGTACTAAATAAAGTGTCTTAGTTATTTCTATAGTAAATAAAGCTAGTTAATTAACAGTAAAAAATCTCAATAGTTTCAATCGCTTGAAACGTTTTACTAACATTGCAACAATTCAAACTCTTATCTTTTATTCTAGCTCTTGGCTTCAATATAATGAAACAATAAATTATAAAAATTAAAAAACAACTAATGCTATGGAATTTCCAACAATAATTGCGAGTCGTGGGTTTGAACTCCAGCAAATTGTGAAAATTTTCGATGTGGCGCAAAGGCGATGCTCATTGCGTGGCCGTGGACGCAGCGCCGTGAATGACATTTAAAGTAATTGTTCTATTTTGCAGTTATATTAATATAGTAAATGTAATTGCTACAAAAATATCAATATATCACATAATTGGTGTGAATCATTAGGTCTCGTGAGTGCGGAGAAATAATAACAAAAAGGGTAAATCAACTTCACGAAGATATTTTGCGATGATATTTTCAGAGACTGTTTGTTCGTGAGATGAATTTATATTCAGAGATACACGAGCAATTTAAATTTTCAGTGATAGTATCTCGTAAATGTTCCATGAATCTATGAAAAGTTCGAAGTTGTTATCTCGCAAAAGATACGACCGCAAACAGACTGCAGAAATGAATATGTTTTTGTAACCGCAAGTTCTTCTCGTTCTTCATATCGACATTTTCCATTAGAGCTTAAGACTCTAAAGATTTGCATTGGAGTCACGATCACTGAGTCAATGAGAAAATTCCCTCCTGGTTCTGGCTTGGGGTAACAAAGTTAATATTTTACCCCAGATTTTCCCCAGTTTTACCCCAGTTCTGACGTATCTTGTGGGGGCAGATGAGCGCTTGAATAATGAAGGGATATTCACCGGACGCAGGCTATTGTACGTCTGGACGGTAATATAAATACGAAGAGCTCATATTCTGCCATGATAATAATAAGCTTTGGTACTCCAAATAATCAGGCTACAGAAAATCGGTAGGAAAAAGAGCATAAAATCTACCAAGAAGAGGTGACAGCCTCAGGAAACCCTTCGAAATAAATTAAATGGAAAATACAATAAAATTACGTAAAAATAACATGCGGGTCTATATTCTACCAAAAAGATGAACTTTGGTGTTAATGATCATGACATGCTTCATTTAAAAATGAGACGAATATAGTTTCATATCTATAGAACTTTTGTCAGAAAAAAAAACGCCTAAAGACGACAGCGGAAAACACTTTCAACACAGCCTAGGGGTCACGCAGAATCTCCACTAAATTATTCGATTACTGGACCTAAGAGGAGACTTCAATCTTTAGATCTCAATGATAGAGTTAAATTGAGACTGACATCTGAATTGTGGATTTTTTAAAAATTAATTGTACCTTAGGCGTCGCACGTGGAACCTGTAAAATCGTTTTTAAAGGTTCTTTAAGATGTCAGAAAGTAAAAAAACTAGTACGACTCTAGCGCACAAAAAAATTACACGAAATAATGTGGAATTTTTATACTAAAATGGCAAATATTTATTTCTTCTTGTTCTTAGCTAAGCGTAAACTGAATAAATAATAAAATTATAAGCCAGCGCTAATGCGCCAGCTTCCCGTGCCGTGGGCCATGTTGACAGTTGAGGCAAAATGCATAAAATTTCCTAGAGAAACAATCGTATATAATTAAAATTATGCACTATACTTTATTTTTCTGCGTACAGAATATTTTACTTCTGGTTATAACAGCTACACGAGTTAAGGTACAGTGTAGCGCTGTATGAACTGTAACAGCTATACGAGTTAAGGTACAGTGTAGCGCCTGTCTCTGTACTTGTATAACGCGTGTATGCCCGTACTTGTATAACGCGTGTATGCCCGTACTTGTATAACGCGTGTATGACTGTACTTGTATAACGAATGTATGCCCGTACTTGTATAACTCGTTCGAACTAATCATGATTATTACATGATTCTAGATGACGCGGATGAACTTACGATTATTATATGGAACGATCAATTATATATTCGATAAGATTTCCTGTTACAAGCGTTTCTAATCTAAATTCGTAGCCAATGAATTTCTCTCTCGCATAAATTGGGTAAAAATGAACGTTTCTATTTATGTTTGAAAATCCTAAGATCAAAAACATATGGTGTATGAAACCTTAACTTGTAAAGGAAACAACACATAGCTTCAAACATTTATAATTATTATATATCATACGGCGATAGCAATCAGTTTTGGATAATGAACATTTGCAGCTTACGTTCTCGCGCAAAAATAATTTTCGCTTCCATTGAAATACTTCGCACATCCAATTCTCTTTCACAAGTTCCCTAATACTGAAAAAAAAAATAAAATCATAACAACGACTATTAAAATTTTAATCAATATAAAAGATAACAGGCATGATTGTTTAATTTTTATTAACGTAATAATCTATATTGTAGTAAAGTTTCGCAAAAAAATCTGAAAACGGTGACTTAAACAGCCACTGTAAATCTGTTCTCACGTTCAATGTAAGATCCAGCCATGCAGAACTCGAATGATATTCCTTCATAACTTCTTGACCGTGATCAAAATCCTGTCCTTTTATTCTGAACTAAAATATGTACAGTACATCTACTCTCAATAAACCTCATTTACCAAAAGTATTCTATGGTAAATATCATTCCCTTAACACTACCACTCATGTTCTTACTTTTAATGTTTTTATTATCAAATTATTTTCAGATCACTCCCTTCTTAGCCCTGTAAATAAGGGACTTTTAGGTCAGTTTTTGCAAAAAATACTTATTTGTGGTGAAGGTCATTGATTAAAATTGGTGATCAGATATTGTACGTGATGTTTACGGGACATGCAAAGCAGCAAATTTTCCCGAGATCTAAGAATAAAACATTTAATGGCCATCAAGCACTACCTGCCTATCAAAGATAAAGTCAAAATAGTGCTGGGTTACTTAATTCAAAATAAACAACTTGATACAAAATATTGTACACCAGGATTAATGCTGCTTGACACTATTCAGGCTCGGGACATAAATATTCTAATACAGGAATAATGCTGCCTGACATTATTCAGACTCGAGATATAAATATTCTACTATGTGATTATTGCTTAACAAATATGATTATTGCATCGCTGACCAATGTGTTCGACATATTTAATCATACACAAATAGTCAATAATTTAAACTCTATCCTTTGCCACATCAGCTGTTGATAAGACGCTTTTAGCTGCTCCTGACCAAATGACAGTCGCGGTTTCACAATCATTGAGCTTGGCACCTGAAAATTATGTTACAGTACTACATGTGACCAACCACTTCATTTCAGATAATTAATAATAAATAATTTCAGGTTATTTCTGTGCGTTACACATCAAGAAATGTGATGTAATCCCCATAGTACATCTACAGGGTTAAGTCAAGATTCAAATAAATCAGAAGGCATTTCACCTGCGCAGGAAACTCAACACAAACAAATTCACCCTGACGTATTTATTTCCCTATGCCGATCCTGCACTATCATTCGCGAACTCACGCGTCTATATTGAACAATCATTAACAAACTCACGCGTCGGTCTTGAACAAGCATTGACAAACTCATGCGTCGGTCTTGAACAATCATTAACAAACTCACGCGTCTCAACGGTTTTGAACAAGCATTGACAAACTTACTCGTCGGTCTTGAACAAGCATTGACAAACTCATGCGTCGGTCTTGAACAATCATTAACAAACTCACGCGGCGGTCTTGAACAAGCATTGACAAACTCATGCGTCGGTTTTGAACAAGCATTGACAAACTCATTCAACGGTTTTGAACAAGCATTGACAAACTTACTCGTCGGTCTTGAACAGTCATTGACAAACTCACGCGTCGGTCTTGAGCAATCATTGACAAACTCACGCGTCGGTCTTGAACAAGCATTAATTAAAAAAACCCGTGCGTCGATCTCGAACAATCATTGCCAAAATCACGTGCTATAATTCGTCGCAAGTCTTAACACTTGGCCGAGTCACTCGACCTCCTCCACGGCATGGAGTTCCAGGCCGAAGACCTGGCAAGCCTCATGGCCCGCGCTTCAGCCCTCGAGCACTCATATTTACCCCTAGGGAGACCCATCTCTATGTTAACGTCACATTCCTGCATACGAAAGCTGGAACTCAGGTTACTCAGGCTTCCCAGAGACGCGCTTCTCCCGCTCCTGCTGCTCAGTGAAGACGAGCGGCAATTCTTGGAAGTTCTGCGACGACTTGGTTTTCCAGTACAGGCTTGCCGGTCCCTGCGATTATTCACATCACAAGGAGATTGTTTGGTCGCGCAATACCAAATGAACACGATGCACGACGCGAGCAACGCTCCAAGAAAGAATGATGATATCGTTGACGCTATCATCGCCTTCATGCAAGTACTTTTGAAATCGGCCGGCGGGCATTGGGAGACGTTCGCATTTCCACCTCTCGTTGTCTGGACGTTGAAAGAAGTCCGGGATGAATTTATCCCTATATTTTCAAATGGTATCATCCTTGGATTCATATGCACGTTCGTAAAGTTGGTGAAGTTATTCAATACTGTTTGTTCGTCGTTGCCCACGGCATTGGCGTTCAGGAGGCTCGAGTATTGGATAGGACAAGCGTAGCGCGTGTGCCACTCAACGTTCATTTCGCAACTATTGTTGGACATCCCGGTCAGCATTGGGTCATTCTGTAAAAAGTTTTATTTTTCAACTCTCCGCATGCGATATATTAACCGTCGTCAATGATATTCATATAAAAATCGAGTAGACTAGAGTTACCATTATTGTACAAACGGTTAATCTCTAACCATATATCAATTAAGCATTAAGCTTAGTCAATGATTTCCCTAATTAAGTCCTTGAGCACATATCAGTATGTCATGTTTCACTGCACTTAACATTCAAGAAACTATTATCCTGTACATTTTTATAAGCCGTTCTGTCCAAATGTCTATATCAATGGATGATTGCCTATTATCAATGCACTCACCTCGCCGATGGTGCAGACGAACAGTATGCGTGTTGACAGACGAAGCTCAGGACAAGCCGGGCACAGATCTCCATCCACGTAGAGAATCTCCAAGGAGTTATTCTCGAGCACCCTCAGCCCTCGCTGCACTCGGCCTAACGTCAACCCAGCCTGACGCCCAACGCCTCCGGTAGCCAGCTGCAGGCATGCTAATGCTCCGTCTTCGCAGCCATCCCACGGAGGTATCGCTTGGAATAAGCCAAAGATGAAGGTCTCATTGGTGACAGGGACTGGCAGAAAAGTTAACCTGGATGCTTCCATTGGAGAGCTTAGGTTAAAGAAAGCGTCTTGCTTGTAAATCATCCAAGGAGTCGGAGATAAGCAGGTTGCGTTGGTATACCAAGTAATATGGATGGTTTCTGCTAGGAAGTTTGACGTCATCTTGTACTTTCCTATCGTTGTCTCGAAGTGGTTGCAAATGAAGATTATTTCAGTGGTCATGTTGCTTCCTGGAAGTCGATCAAAGAAAATCCCCAATTTACCCTGATTCCACGTAATATCAGAGCTGGACATTCCTGCAAGGATGGTTACATTGACGTTATTTTTCATCGTAACGCATGCACCAGCTGTTGTTGATTGTTCGCCACAAAATGCAGATGGCAGAGCACGACATATGGAAATGACGATCTTGTTGTTTGAAAAGTCGCTGAACTGGAAAGGGGAGTTGGAAATCAATGGACTCAGGTCCATAGGACTATCCGTTGACCACGGTAGTACTAAGTTGCACTTGGGTTCCGAAGTGTTGCACAAATCCTCGCTTTTTGTCGCTGGTTCTTGCGCGTAACTCTGAATTGAGAAGAAGTAATGCACCATTTACGACAATTACATTAGAGAAAAAACATTCACACATAGTCTCAAAAGACGAATCCAATCATGAATTAAGGTTGATAGAAAAAATTCTGTGCTTATCTTAGAAAGTAAACATTATTATTCCGGTGTAAGTGCGGTATAACAAACGTGAAGTAACAATTTACAGGGCTGCCTTAACACGCAAACTGAGGAGACTGCTGATGTTCTGTCCAAGGCCCATAGCCAACTACTGCAAAAATTTGACACCTTGAAAATAGAACTTTTATTTATTTACGTAAAAACTCTTTTCTCAATTTTTCGAAATAATCAATTATCATGTATACAGAAGTTAAACAAAACGTCACGGCAGATTTCAAAGTAGTTGCTCAACGTGCATTTTGCATACCAGAACTCTGATTTGATTAAATTAAATTTCAGATTAATAAATTATTCAGACGCATTTATTTAGAGATATAAAGTACGACTGGAAAGAATGGATGTTGATCGGTGAGAGGGAAACTGTGGAGCATCTGATGATGGAGTGTGATGCAAATGAGAGTGAGCGACTAGATATGAAGAGGGTGATGCTGGATTAAACTCATTATAGTGATGAGGGTGATTGTGTGATGCATGAACGAACGGGAGTCGAATGGTTTGCAATGATAGTGGATCTATCAGCAGGGGTGACTGACTGACTGACTGCTGCTATGACTGAGAGTGGTAAGCGGTATATGAGAGTGCATGGAGAATGAGGAAGAGGAAAAGGTTGGTGAGAACGAAGGCGGGGCATAAAGAATCAACTCAATCAAGCAATGATAAAATAATTGTTACTGTAATAATAGTAATGTAATAGGACGCAAATAATTATTCGGGGCCTCAAAAATACCAATATTCAAAATATACCTTGAAACTACAGTGCCAGAAGTGGGGCATAGCAATATGTAATCGACCAAATAACTTCGTTCTTGAACTTCTTTCCCTTGTTTTCATCTCATTCTTAACAAAAAATTTTCCACCCCTCTAGCCTATGCTATAAGGCTAGAGGGGTGATTGAAGGATTTGGGGTCACTACGCCCCAAATCCTTTGTAATTAATGTTTTTTGTTAAACTATTACATTGTAAAAATGGTGGAATTACATTTAATTACAATGTATTATTGTACATATTTATACTTAACTTCGGAAAATGTTACCTGAATAGACAATAGTGATCTCTGATATATACCATTGAATATAAAGCATATACCTGCAATAAAACTTATATATTAATATCTAAAATGCTTTATTCACCTTACGCAGACTGTTAACAGCTAAAAAAACGTTCATTATAAGCAATAAACGCATTTTTTCTGATAATTGGAAAAATACTCCTCAAACGGACTGATCAGTCTGCAATGTTGACTTCCAAATGACATATGATGCAAGGTATCAGATTGATCATTGATGCCACAAAGGAATACACTTTCCTCAAACTAAACGCAAGCACGTGAAAAACTTTTTGATTATGTAAATGTTCTATGACTAAACAAAATTTTGAAATTTACGTCATTTTGGAAAATTTTTCCTTCGATATGTGGTGCTCACATAGTGGATTTTTAATATATTGGAAAGAATATGTATGTAGAGCTGACAAACGCCCACATCGAACGATTTTCCGGCTGGCTATCGGAGTTGTAAATATGCCATTTTACAATCATAAGTGAACACAAACGTTTGAGTGTATTTAAAAAAGTAAAATGCAAAATTATATAATACCTGGAGATAATATATTCTAGCTGTCCGTCTGTATAGCTGCAAATCCCCCTCCATTAAATTAATGACTTAGGCAGGCTACATAACGCTCGCAAGCAGAAATTGTAATAAAGACTAATGTAGGAGTTTTAATGATACGGATATTTCTTCCGTGTATTTTTATTTCTTTATCCATGCTGCTATGCATTTTTAATATTAGGAGCAGACATGAGATGATTTAAACTTATTTATTTAATTGACAATTCTTTACGTGCACCCGCCTTCCGTTTTTATCCGCACTCTGTAACATGCTAGATTGCATCAGCTCATTTGCAGCGAAACTTTGTTTTCAATTTCACAATTGTATGGTCCCACAGGGTTCACAAACGGCTTGGGCATCCTGAAAAGGAAAAAACCTACTCTTCTTCTTTAACTACTAGGTAAAATTTTTTATTTATTCTACCGATTAATGATGATATTATCTGCAATATGGACAAATGTTGAGGCCATATTTGGTAATTACAATGTTGTACTGAATTAGAAAAATTGTGGGCCAAATTGGTGTTTAAGTATTTCCTCATTTAAGAAATAAAAATTAGTCAAGGGCCATAGGAATTGCCGAATTGGCCTATGTAGCTATTTGGAATTTTGGGACAACATTTTCTTGAAATGTGGGCAAAAATTTTAACTGGGACTGGGACAAGAGCCATGTAGTCTTAGGTAAAAATCAGGGCTGGCAATGATTAGGCTAAATCAAAATGATTACTGTCAAATGTCAATGCCACATAAGTGGCCACTTTCAGGCCACATAAGTTGCCACTTTCAGGCATCCACCGTAAGGCCACTATCATAGTGGCAAAGCAGAGAGTTTTTTAGACTCTCCCTCAAGTTCATTTTTGAGTCCTATAAGTAGACAAGTAAAGCATAGTGGCAAAGCAGAGAGTTTTTTAGACTCTCCCTCAAGTTCATTTTTGAGTCCTATAAGTAGACCAGTAAAGTATCATGGATACCAGCATTATCTTTACATAAGAAATTGGTTTAAGTCTTGAGTAAATGAGGAAATTAAAAATGAATTGATTCTAAAAAAATCTCTGGTTTGTCACTATGTCTATGGCCACTATGCAGAGGGTGGATGCAGCGTCGCCAATTGGCCAATATATGGATTTTTAAGCCCAAAGCGTCGCCAGCCATTTTAAAGATGCGTTGCCGGGTAATTTTTAATGAAATGCCATTTACGCTGAGTAATGACGAACTATTTACAAGCCACAAACTTAGTTACAAGGTTGCATGCACGTGTTACCCCAAAAGGCCCAAATAACTAATTTCACCCTAAAAACAGTCCGATTGTACAGCAAGTGTCAACTGAACATGTAATAAAGCAGTTTGACCGCTCTAATGTGCAGGATGGAATTCTAATTTCGAAGGTTCATATATTATTTCGATCCACCAAGACCACTTTTTCTACCCAACATCGTTATTTGAGGCAAAAACTGAACTTCTTAAAGGCTTAAAATACGTACACTACCTTGCTCAGTTTCTATAAAGTACCTAACCACTTTGAAGTTTTATGCTTGCACCTTTCACTCAACAAATAAATGCACACTTGGTCAGTAAATTTGAAATTTAATTCTTGCTGTAAACAAAACTAGAATCAGGTAATTTTATTGTGTTAAAAAAATATGAAGTTGATGGCAATATCTATTAGACTATTGTGTGCTAATGTTGGTTAATCAAAATCAATCTGATTCTTTTGAATGTCATTGTCATTTCACTCATTTGTCCTAGACTCCTAGCATAGTGGCAAACCAGAGCTTTTTTGGAATCAGTTCATTTTTAATTTCCTCAATAACTCAAGATTTAAACCAATTTATTAAGTATGAATCCAGAGTAGCACTGACATAAGTGCTAACGTTATTAACGTTGACATTGTGCCCAAATTGGCCACAACCCAGACATTTCTGAAAGCTACATTTTTTTTAGCCATCTGACAAAATTACCTTTCAGATTTACAAATCATAAATACCTGAAACAATGCCCATGTAAATTTTTAATATCAAATAGTTATAAACTTTAGCATTGCACAAGTTTCAACATAATTCAATTAGAGACATCAGAAATTTAGAAGTGCTACAGTGATGAACAGATAACAAAAAATAAAGAGCAAAAATAATTTTAAAAATTTACATTAATTTCAATAAAAAAGTAATAAAATATTACATATTATTATTTCATTTTTATTACATAAGTCAAAGCGGTCAGACTGTATATTAACACGTGCTGAACTTACAGTAGAGACAAATTTTATTGTTGCCGTTTGACTGTTTAAGGGTAAAATTAGAGATTTGGGGTAACACGTGCATAAACTTTGTAAATAAATTCGCATTCGCACCTCGTAAA